GCCAGGTCCAGTGGTGGAATTCAAATAATTTAACGATCTGTTCACCCAGGGTCAAGTTGGCTATCGTGGGAGGCATAGACCACTCCCATCCTCCAGCTCCGTCGCACATGCGGAACGAGCCTCCCGCGATGGTGAACTTGACCTTGGGCGAACTGATTACCATCACCACCACCACCGCTATCAAAGTGAATCCACGGTGCTGCGTTGTGCTGCAATGGAGAAATGGGCAATGGAGTGGCCGGCAGGAGGGAAGGGAGCAGAGCAGGGAGAAGAAAGAGTGAAAGTGGCCTTCTCCTTCCCTCACATTGGATGCTCTGTTGCCGTGATGGCAAACCTACGGCACGCATGCCACAAGAGGCACGCAGAGTCATCTCTATGGGCACGTGAACCATCGCCCCAGCTCAGTTCCACTGCGCATGCGCGTGTGCCTCCTGCCAGCCAGCTGATTTTCGGGAATCTGCCGTGCATGTGTGAGGGGAGGGACGTATGCGGGAGACATGTGCGTGTGCACAGGGGGCAGGGGAGCATGGGGAGGTCCCATGTGCATTGCATTATGGGTGCAGGCACGCGTGCGTGATCTCGCATGTGTACATGCACATTTTTGGCACACGACAACAAAAAAGGTTAGCCATCATTGCTCTATTGCCTGTTTCTCCATTGCAATGCTGCTCCCAGGATCCACTTTGATAGTGAGGGGGGCATGGGTAATTTAAGAACCAGTTCGCCCGAACTGGTGTGAACCAGCTGAATCCCACCACTGGCCAGGTCACTACATATTTTCCAATCTTGCATAATTCTTTGAGTTGTTCTATGCTCTGGCTGGTATCACTTTTGATGGTGTCCAGTCACTGTCTTCTTGGGTGTCCTGGCTTCCTTTTACCGTTAATGCTTCCAAACATAATTGCTTTCTCCAGTGAATTCACTCACATGACATGGTCAAAATAAGTGAGACAACCCATAGTATACAACAACCCAAATCATAGTAGCATAACATTTGAAGGGTCAATTAACCCATTGGATCCAATCCCTGCTCAATGTTAAATCCAAATCAAGGCATTCCAGACAGATGGTTGTTTAGCACCAGCCTGAACATGCAACAGGGAAGCCTTCCAATTCTCTGGTTTGTTTCTTCCTGTCCAATCTGTTCTTGTTGTTCAATTGAGTTCTGTCTTCCTGTAACATCAATCCATGATTTTCTGCCTGCATAAGATACTCATCCATGCATTCATTCATGCATTTATTCATGCATTCATTCATTTGATTTTTATTTTGCCTTTATTGCTTTATAAGTACCTCAAGGCAGCAAACTTCCCTAATATCCTTTCTCCTCCTATTTTCCCTACAACAACAACCCTGTGAGGTAAGTTGGGCTGAGAGAGAGTGTATGACTGGCCCAAAGTCATCCAAGCCAGTTTTCCAAGAAAACCTCTCATCAAGAAAGTCTTCTGCATAAATTAGAACAAATCACAGCATCGACATGATCCCCTCAAGAATTAAGCTACATTTGTCCTTTACATTTTAAAATCCAGAAATATTTGTGTTTTGACAGCACACTTAAAAAAAATATTAAAGTTTATTATAAGACAAAAGTACAAAAAGAAAGAATATAGATCACAAAGAGTTAGGAAGCTAGGAGAAGGAAGAAGGGTGCTGAGAGAAAGGAAGAAAAAAATAGTCACATCTGATATTTTTGGACAGTAAAATACAGAAAAAGAATTACAATCTCAACCCTTTGCTTTAAATTTCTCAACATTTCAAGGCATTTTTATAACAACAAAGTCATTCTAACCTTCAAAACCCTAAAATCGGAGGGCGGAGCTAGCGTCGTGATGATACAGTGTGCGATCTTGAAGGTCCGAGATCGCCGCCGATATCTTTGCTTCTGGACAGTCCAAACAGATCTAAACCATCCCGAAGAGATGGTGAATGTAAAGAGCGCATCCTGTCGATCCCAGGGATACCGCAAAGTCCCTGGTAGATCCAGGAGAAGCTCTTTTTGCCAGCGGCAAAGAGGCAGCCATTAAAGCTGCTGAATTTGGGACAACTCCGAAACGGAAGAGAATGGAAAGAGAAAGTGTGCCGGTTTGGTGAGAATTTTTTCTTTACTTTAAGATTTGAAAGGACACCCTAAGGAAAAGAAAGAATCTGTAAAATCTTAGACAGAAGTGATTAAGCGGTGATTTTAAACAGGAAGTCAAATTAATATTTTCTTTTTTTTGTTGTTGTTGGTCTCCTCATATATGATTTTTTTACTTTGAAACTGGACTGGTCTTTTTTTCTACCTTATTTTTTCTTTTTTGTTTCTTCTCCTTTTTGACTTTATAATATTTTAGGCTAGAGACTCCCTTTTAGTCCTTTTTTCTAAATTGTTTTTCCTTTTAATTAATTTTTATTATATTTTGTTTGGAAAAGGAGGGGAAAAGTGAAAGCAGAGGAAACTTTGTAATACTTCCAACTAGAGGCTATTGTTTCTCTTTTTCTCTCTCTCTCTCTTGACCAGACAAAGCTGAGAAAGAATTGAGACTTCTTTTCAAGGACTTTGAGTCTGTTTGATAAGATAGAGAGAAGAGCATGGGAGAGTATTATTGCAGGTGCTCTTCTGGGTTTCTATCAGTAACTGAAGTCTGGTGTTGAAGTTTACAGAAAAAAGACGATAAGATTTTAGAAAAGAGAGTTAGAAAACTTAACAAAAGCCTTGGATAATTAAATAAGGTGCAGTGTGTTCTTTTTCCTTTTTTAAGCGGGGCTATTCCTTACTTTAACAAACCCCCTCCTTATCAGCTTATTATTTGTTATAGTCATTTGGATCTTTGGCCTTTTGGAACTTGCTTTGGTCTTTCTTTTTGCTTTTGGAGCCTAATTTTTACTTTTGCATTTCATTTTAAAGGACAAGTCTTAGTATTAATGTTCTCTCTCTTTTTTTTAAGGGAGTAGTCTTTTTTCTCTCTCCCTCTCCTGCATTTTTTTATCCATTTTCCATATTGGTTTTTCTTTTGTGGCCTCTTTTTTTTTGTATACCTTTTCATACCTGAGACTTTTTAATTGGATTAAGGTGTTGAAGAACCTGAAGAATTTCTTTTTTTTTCTTCTTTAAATTTTACTCCTTTTTTTTTCTGCCACCTATAAGATTTAACAATTTTTCCTTTTTCTGTTTATGGTTTTTTCTTCCTTTTTTGAGTTTTTACTGCTATTTAACCAATCGATTGAATTAAGGTGTACAAGAACCTGAAGAAACTTTTTTTTTATCTTGCTTTTTTCCTTCTACTATTTTTACTTGGAATTACAATTGGTTATTACACAAGTGGATTAAGGTCTAGAAGAACCTGAAGATTTTGAATCATCTGAAATGAGCAGGAAATTAACAGTGGCTGGTTCTTCAATTCCAACTTCTTCCTCTTCACCATCTGGAGGACAACGCTCAATACAGATGATGTTACAACAAGAAAAAGAACAGGAAAAGGTGACACTGCAGATGATAATGCAAGGAATTCAAAACATACAAGCAAGAACAGAGAATATTGAAAAGAGAATAGAAAAAACTGATGAAAAGGTGGAGAATATTCAACAAATGATGATGAAGTATGATGAGAGATTCCAAAAAATTGAAGAAGATAAACAAAGAGATAAGAAGATTGGAGATATTGATGGCAGATTAACTGTGGTTGAACAAGATAAAAGTGGGGTGCATAGAGGAAGAAAAGGGTGGAAAACTTAGCTGAGATAATGATAGAAATCTTGTCTGAAGCTCTGGAAATAACCAAAGAGAAGATGATGGATGGAATAGACAAGGTCTTTTGAGTCTTCACAAGATATGCAATGAGAAATAGTCTACCAAGAACTATAGACCTATTTCCCTACTAAATGCAGATTATAAATTTTTTGCTTCAATATTGGCAGAAAGACTCAAAAAACACCTGCATAACTTTATCCACCCTGATCAAAATGGATTTCTGCCAAAGAGACAAATTAAAGACAATATGAGAGTAATCTTGGACACTTTGGAATACTATGAGGCACACCCTGGAAAACAAATGGCTTTGATATTTTTAGATGCACAGAAGGCATTTGACAATGTGAATTGGCGATTTATGTTGTTACAGCTGGAACAGATGGGCTTTGGTAAAAAATTTATCCAAACAATAGAAGCTATATATCATAAGCAAACGGCAAAGGTAATGATAGAGGGAGATTTGACAGACTCTACTTGATGTAAGAAAAGGAACAAGACAAGGGTGCCCACTGTCACCCATTACCATATGTGGTGGATGTGCGCAGATGCTAAAAAATATTGGACTAAAATCCACAAATGGTTGGAAAAAAGGACAAAAAAGCATATAGACTTGAAATCAGAGATATTCTTATTGGGAATTTTACCTGAAATATACAGTAAGGAATTGAAATATTTGATTGTAAATGTATTAACAGTGGCTAGGATTGTATTTGCTAAAAACTGGAAAAATGAGAAAATACCAACACAGGAGGAAGTTATTAAGAAAATATTGGAATGTGCTAAAATGAGTAGACTGACATTTGAAATCAGCGAACAAGAAGATAAACAATTTTATAAGATTTGGGATCTATTCTATCAATGGTTAGACAATAAAACATGGTAATGAAATATGTAGATTTTTAGAATATAATGAATATATAAAGATGTATTATTTTTATTATATCTACAAAATGATTATAGGATAGATTTGAGATGATAATATGAACTGCTATAAAACAAATTAAGTAAAATATGGATTATCTTGAATAATAGTATAGTCAAATGATTGATTAACAATGATATTAATGTATTTAGGAATATTTGATTGACAATATGAGAACATATACAATGTAATTGTAAGTGAAGACTATGAAGTGAAAGCACAAAACAATCTGTAAACCAACCGACACACTGTATGTATATGTATGGAAGATGGCTTGATGTTTTTATGTTGTGTTTGTCTATTTTTGTCTTAAAAACAATAAAACTTTTTTTAAAAAAAACTAAAATCAAAATAATCTTTTTTTTTGTTCAGAATTGAAGGAAAAAGTCCAGAAACGCTTTCCAAGTAGAATGAAACTAGACAAATTCTTCTCTCTAATTAAAACGATCAGTTTTGCTACCTCTGCCAAAAATCAGTTTTGATACTTCGATCACTTTTACCATCCAATCTTCCATTGTGGGAATTAGCATGTTTCCATCTTTTTGCACATAAGATTCTCACTGCACATAAATAATGACTCAAGATGGCTATGGGTAAGCAGTCAATCATGGAGGACAAATGAATGATGCCGTAACTGAACAGTTAAAATTGGAACTTATCTTCTACCTCTCCACAGACTCCATCTAGTCTCAAAGAAAAAGTTTTCTAATGACCTGAACATGAGTCCTCAGAATGAGTTTATTCTCTCATTCACTCAATAGGCATACAATATGAACCTTTCTGGAGCATATAAAACCTTTCTTTAGCATATAAAAGAAGTCCTGTGGCAAATTAATTTAGAAAAGTCTTGTTAAAAAGAGGCCAAAAATGACAATCATTTACTGCATATTTTTGCAAGAGGAATAAATCTAGGTTCCAGGACACCCAGGAAATCTTCAGGCAGGCTGTTTTTGTCATCTTCTAGGATGGAAAGGGACCAGGAAGAATAGTTTTTTTCCAATGCTCCTTCACTTGCATAAACACATGGCGCATAAGAAACTATATTATCCTCCATGTTGGCCATGTCTTCACATTTCTGCAAAGAAAGAAAGTAAACATTTAGACCAGTGATGGCTAACCTTTTCGTCCTTGCATGCCAAAGTGTGCAAGCACACATGTGGGTACGTGCACAAGTGCCAGCACCCATAAGACAATGTACGTGGGGGACCCCACGCCCCCTGCACATGCATGCACAACACTCCACATGCATGCCACACATTTCTGCCTGTGTGCATGTGAGCCCCCATGCAAACCAGAGGTGGGATTCTACCAGTTCACACCTATTCACTAGAACCGGTTGTTAACATTCTAAGCAGTTCGGAGAACCGGTTGTTAGAAGAAATTACTGGCCTAATCCTGTAAGGAAGGCAGGAAGGAAACATTGTGGTGTTGCTTACAGAAACTGCCTCTCCGTTAACCCTTATTACATTCTTGGCAGGACTAGACTTCCTGTCTCAGGAAGATCTCTGGAGTTTTTTTTCCCCCTCCTTTGCTGGTACTTTGCTTGTGTGGAGTGACCATTCAAAGTTACAATGGCACTGAAAAAAGTGACTTATGACCATTTTTCACACTTACGACTGTTGCAGCATCCCCACAGTCATGAGAGGCCAGGCAAGGAGATGCATGCCTCAATGTGATATTGAGTTGGCCACACCCAGCCAATAACATGACCATCAAGCCATGTCCACCCAGTCACATGACCACCAAGTCACGCCCACCACCTAAGCCACACCCACAGAACCGGTTGTTAAAAATTTGAATCCCACCCGATGCAAACCATGCATTTCTGAGCATGCACATGCATCTCCTGCATGCCCCATGCCCCCCGCACATGCGCAGCAGCTACCTGACAATCAGCTGGCGGGCTGGCAGTGCATGCGCCTTTGCAGTGGACCTGCTCTGGGGCGACGGCTCACGTGCCAGTGGAGATGGCTCTGCATGCCACTTCCGGCACGCATGCCATAGGTTCGCCATCATGGATTTAGACTGTTGAACCTAATCACAAAGCTGTGCACTACAGGTAGTTCTTGACTTAAGAGCCATCCATTTATGACCGTTTGAAGTTACAATGGCATGGAAAATGACTGTTTTTTGCACTTATAATCATTGCAGCATCCCCATGGTCACATGATTAAAATTCAGATGCTTGGCAACTGGCATGAATTTGTGACGATTGGGAAGCCAGATTCACTCTGCACCCGGGTTACTAACTTAACAATGGCAGTAATTCACTTAACAACTGTGGCAAGAAAGGCCATAAAATGAGGCAAAACTCACTTAACTGTCTTGCTTCGTAACAAAATTTGGGGCCGATTGGGGTCACAAATCGAGCATGGGAATGTAGTTTTAGTTTTAAAAACTTCATGATGGCAAGTATGGGGGTGGGTGGGAAATTACTTTTTTCCACTGTGGAGTGAAAACCGTCCTGACTAGCCTTGATTCTCTTGCTGATCTTGGCAAAAATGGCGCCAGCCACATCACATTTGAATAACATTATTTATTTATTTGTTTGTTTATTTATCACATTTCTGAACTGCCCATCTTCCTTGGAGAGGATATACAATCCTCTCTTGCCGGTATACAATCAAATGTTAAAATAGAAAAACGTTGTTTAAAAATTAAAATGTTAGAATTAAAATTTTAGAAGGAGGCAAGAATAATAAATTGCCGTTAAAAATTAATTAGGCCAAGGGAGGGCTCTCAGAGCACCAACCAGCCCCATGGTTGCATGGTCCCTTGAGCTCCCCTCACAAGGCCACAGAGCCATGTTTTAACACCTTTTTAAAAGGCCAAAAGAGGGGGGGCTTAGCTCAGCTCTGGGGGAGAGAATATTTCAAAGGGTAGGGGGTAACTGGTATTGTGGAAGAGAAGATGGTCCCACCAATTATCTATGGAGATTCTCAATCATCCACTCATGGTTGACCCAAAAGTATTTTTCCAAAAGGAAACTGGATTTTCTGGTTTGTTTTTTCTTGAAAATGTTTTGCTTCAAGCCACTTAGGGTCACACCAATTAGAAGTTTCCCTTCAGTTACTCTGAAGGTTTGAGGTCACAGCCAGGAGCTTTCCCACTTCTCCGTTGGTTATCGCTTTAAGGGTGGGAGAAGCACGGTGGCCTAAGAGGTAAAGGCACTTGCCTCCCACTCAGAAGGCTGAGAGTTTTAGGCAGTGGCAAATGTTTTTCTATCAGAGCACAAAGAGAAAATATCTGCTGTGAACTCTGTATAGGTGTCAGGAAGGGCATCCGGCCAATAAATACTCAGTTCCACTCAGTCACCCCGAAACAAAGGGTCATAAAAAGAAAAAAAAAATGCTTTAAGAGTGGGATCAGGGATGGTGCTGAGTGGCATTTCATATGGAGAATGGCAGATGGAAAGGAATGAACTCTACAGAAGTTCATTCTACAGAAATCTTCCTATCTAGCAGCTGCAATCCTAACCTCTAAGCCCCAGCTTTCTTCATGTGACAAAGAAGCAATTCACTTCCAAAATAGATATCTACTTTTATCTTTCGCAACCTGAAAGAAATCACTGGTAATTTGACTGAGCAGGGGAAACCACAAGGAAACCTTAAATCTGGTGGTTGAGCCCATGCTCAAAACATATCCTATATTTTGCCATTCTAAGTATTTGGGAAAAGGAATCCTCTGTTTGTTCTGCAGTTGGCTTACTTGTTTCAAGGCAACAGCTACTATTTCTGAAATCTTCTCAAGTGGATTTATCTTGTATGTTTTAATGTTCTGATGGTTCAAAGGCTCCAGCTACGGAAAGAAAGAAAAAAAGCCACAGTCAACTCCAACTTAAAACCCACCTGTCCATTTTATCACTTTGCTTTCAAACACATCAATGCCCAGCCACCTGTTCTAAATGGATGCATCCAAAGCTATTGGAAACAGTGAGAGGAAGGATTTCATTAATTGTGTAATACAGAACTGGGCAATTTCTGGGTCACTTGTCCAACACCTCCAGCATCTGCTCCAACTTGGCAGCTGGCTGGAGAATTCTGGAAGTTGGAGACCTCTGGTATGGGGTCTATACGAAGTTCCTTCAGGGGCTTGGACTAGAAGACCTCCAAGGTCCCTTCCAACTCTGTTATGCTGTATTCTATTATTGAAACAAAGAATCTACTCCACCATTGAACAAAGGGGTATTAACAACTCTGGTTCCTCTTCTTATAATACACTCCCAGCTACCTTACAGTTCAGAAAGACTCAGAAAAGCATTAATTGCCTCCCCCTCTATCAATAAATATCTAATCCCAATTCACATGATTTATCTAACCTGATTCCAAGCTTTGATAGTGTTGAAGGGAGAGGTTACGTTTCCATTAGGATGTTGTTGGTTTTCTATAGGATTCATTTGCATCACTGCAGAGACATTCTTTAGAGAACAAAAGGAAATACAGAATTTATTATATGAAGAACATATGAAGAACAGTTGCTGGAATTGGGTATGTCTAGTTTGATGAAAAGGACTAGGGGTGACAGGATACCAGTGTTCCAATATCTCAGGGGCTGCCACGAAGAAGGGGGAGTCAAGCTATTCTCCAAAGCACCTGAGGGCAGGACAAGAAGCAATGGGTGGAAACTAATCAAGGAGAGAAGCAAACCTAGAACTAAGGAGGAATTTCCTGACAGTTAGAACAATTAATCAGTGGAACAACTTGCCCCCAGAAGTTGTGAATGCTCCAATACTTGAAGTTTTTAAGAAGACATCGGACAACCGTTTTTCTGAAATGGTATAGGGTTTCCTGCCTAAGCAGGGGGTTGGGCTAGAAGACCTCCAAGGTCCCTTCCAACTCTGTTATGCTGTATTCTGTTATTGAAAGAAAGAATCTATTCCACCATTGAACAAAGGGGTATTAACAACTCTGGTTCCTGTTTGTAATACAATCCCATCTACCTTGCAGTTCAGAAAGACTCAGAAAAGCATTAATTGCCTCCCACTCTACCAATAAATATCTAATCCCAATTCACATGATTTATCTAACCTGATTCCAAGCTTTGATAGTGTTGAAGGGAGAGGTTACGTTTCCATTAGGATGTTGTTGGTTTTCTATAGGATTCATTTGCATCACTGCAGAGACATTCTTTAGAGAACAAAAGGAAATACAGAATTTATTATATGAAGAACATATGAAGAACGGTTGCTGGAATTGGGTATGTCTAGTTTGATGAAAAGGACTAGGGGTGACAGGATACCAGTGTTCCAATATCTCAGGGGCTGCCACGAAGAAGGGGGAGTCAAGCTATTCTCCAAAGCACCTGAGGGCAGGACAAGAAGCAATGGGTGGAAACTAATCAAGGAGAGAAGCAAACCTAGAACTAAGGAGGAATTTCCTGAGAGTTAGAACAATTAATCAGTGGAACAACTTGCCCCCAGAAGTTGTGAATGCTCCAACACTGGAAGTTTTAAAGAAGAGATTGAACAACTATTTGTCTGAAATGATATAAGGTTTCCTGCCTAAGCAGGGGGTTGGGCTAGAAGACCTGCAAGGTCCCTTCTGTTATTCTATGCTACTTATAAATAATCAAGTTACATCTCACGTTTTATGTTTTGGATATTTTAGGATCTAGAATCATTAGAAGAATTCTCAATAAAATATTTATCTCCCTGAAGACCATCTCCTCTAGGTCTGTCCTATCTGGCAGCTGAATAGTTATGACATTTGTCTTCTTCTCACCTTCAGTCATGACTAGTCAGAGGAAAGGCAGATGATACCTCTTAATAATAGCAAATGTTAGAAGCAGTGACACTCCACAACATCACAAGCTCCACCACTTTGAGGCACATAAGCGATGTCCGAATATAGTTACCAAAGGGTGTGTCTTGCATCATGATGGCACAATCCTAGTTTTGTCTTTTTGCCACTCTCTGACCACTTCTATGGTTGTTACTGCTAAATGCCAAAGAAATTGGGCGTGATATTGAATCGTCCTACCTCTTGTTCATAGCTAAAAAATGGGGGGGGGGAGTTAAAAGGAGTTCTGGTGGATAAACCTTTCTTAGATACAACTGCAGGATTAAAGGAATTATTCTACACAAAATTATTTATTTATTTGTTTGTTTGTTTGTTTATTTAGTCAAACACTTATAATAGAAATAAGAATAAACATAAGTTTAAATACATGAAATAGTAACTAATAATTGGGGACAATAGGACAGGGATGGTAGGCATGATTGTGCGCTTATGCATGCCCCTTGCAGACCTCTTAGGAATGGGATGAAGTCTATAGAGGTTAGTTTGAGGGTAAAGTTTGAAGGTAAATAATCCTAATTTTGGTATAATTGTGCCCAATGATAGGTGAATTGAAGCATCTGACTCAGATCCCTATACTACTATGTCTTTGAATGAATGAATGAATAAATGAATGAATGAATGTCTTGGTGCATATGCTCTCAAGTGCAGTGGTGGAATTTAAAAAAAAAATACTACCGGTTCTGCGGGTGTGGCTTGGTGGTCGTGGCAGGGGAAGGATACTGTAAAATCTCCAGTCAGAGGTGGCATTTGCTGGTTCTCCAAACTACTCTAAATTTCCACTACCGGTTCTTCAGAACTGGTCAGAACCTGCTGAATACCACCACTGTCTCAGTGCACATAAAAAGAAAAGCTTCATTCATCAAGAAAGATACATTCATATGGTTGGAAAAGATGATAAAACAACAGATAGACTTAAAGCCTGAGATATTTCTATTGGGGATTTTACCCAAGACCTATAGTAAAGAAATAACATACTTAATTATACATACATTAACAGCAGCTAGAATTGTATTTGCTCAAAATTGGAACAATGAAAAAGTTCCGATGCAGGAGGAGGTGATTAAGAAAATACTGGAATGTGCAGAAATGAGTAGGTTAACACTGGCAATTAGAGAACAAGAAGAAATAGATTATTATAAGATATGGGATTTATCTTATGGATGGCTGGAAAATAAAGTAAGAAATTAAATGATACTGTAATAATGTTATATTATGATAAATAATGCTGAATAGACTACAATGTGAATGTAAACTTAGTAAGAAATGTATACAAATATTAATATGTGCACAAGATATATGTATCCAGATGACACACTGTATAACTGAAAGATGGTTTTATTTTTTGTTTTTGTAATAAAAAAAAAAAATATTTACAAAAAAAGAGAATCCAGTGAAACTAACAAGAGTCGTACTTTTAAAACTGATTTGCAACCTTTTAAAAATGTATCCCTAGATTTCTTGCCAAATATAGATGAAATAAATCGTAATGAACTAAAAAGAAAAAGAAAGATACATTCATCAAGAGTCTGTCAAAAAGATTAGAACTACCTAGGTCTGGGGCCAAAACCACTCTAACTGGTAAAACAGTAGTAATATTCTATGCTTGTAGACCAGTTCAAGAAATAGCGGGGAAAAATCAGATGAATCCTGGTTGATCAAATGCTCACAGTCATGTTTTCTATCCAAAAGCACATCAATCCATTTTTAAAGTCAAGATTAGGGGTGCCTCGGACAAGGGTGGGAAGGAGGCACTAGTGTTGGAGTGGGAATCATGTTACTCATTTCATTCTGGCTGCTGCACATCACTCCTTCTTGGATAATTTCTGTAAGCGCTGGATCACCTGCAGAAAGGGTGACGCTCCGTTCCAGTTACCTCAAGAGCTTGTGGTTTCTCCTTCGCAATTTTTGCATATACTGAGGATGCTGTTCCTTGGTTCCCTGAGTCAGGTACATTCTAAAAGTTACGACAAGGCAGATGGATAAAGTTAAAAAAAAAAAAAAGTATTTTGGGATAGCTGCAATTGACAAAACTTTAAAATCTGGCGTACTAATACTTGTTTTGACTTACATTGCATTGAAACTCAATGAAATCTCCTTTAGAGTACGATGCACAAGGCTTATGCTAGAAATCTAGGATCAGTCCCGTAAAATGTCAAGGAAAGTAGCCAACGATATTATTTCTCACCAAAACATGTTCACTCTCCTCATTGTAGTGGATCAGGGATTGGTTGCCTGCTCCGTATGGAATGAATGTAGGTGCTTCCTTCTCTTCAGAGATGCAGGAACACAACAGGAGCGCCAGGCCCACTGCATAGAGAGAAAGGGTAAACAAGCAATGTCGACAACTGTCTTCAGCACCAATAAAGGACAACATTTGTAGCTCAGGATTGAAATGAGGGGTTCTTGGTGCTCTCTGAGCTCGCTTGTTTTCTTGTAGACATTTCATTACCCAAGCTAGATAACATCATCAGTGCTATTAAGGAGTGTGGTTTGCTGTCAATATAAACTGACAGCAAACCGTACTACTTACAAGCACTAATGATGTTACCTAATTTGAGTCATGAAACATCATCTTCTTTTAACGACCCCAAAATCCTTTGCAGGGTGAAATCTGGGCAACTGAATGGAGTGTTTACTGGCTGGATGCCCTTCCTGTTGCTAATGCAGAGTTGTTGTTTTGTCACCAGATATATTCTCAGCATACCCAGAGCGAGAAATATCTGCTTCTACCTAGGATCGAACTCACAGCCTCCTGATTGTGAGGTGAGAGCTCTACCTCTAGACCACTGCGCCACTCAGTTTGAGTAATGAAACTTCTGCAAGAAAACAAGCCAGCTCAGAGAGCACTAAGGAACCCCTCATCTCTTCAACACCCTTCTCAAGTATCTTATTACCTGCTCACATCTTAGTTGGAACTCTGCCCAGTAGGACTGTTTCAGTAAAAACTTTTTTTCTTGGGCCATCGCTTCCCTTTGTTTTCCTGCCTTTTCCTCTTATTTTTCTTACAATAAAATATGCATTATGGGAATAGAGGGGGAGAAGGCAGAACAGCATCCTAAAGTGTTTTGATTGCTAATTCTAAGAATCCTTGGAACCATAGAAGAAAGGGAGACCAGATTATGTCATAAGGAGATGGGACAGCATACTTTTAAATTGAGGATGAGAGTCTTTGCCAATGGTTGCATCTGTCAAGTACTGGACATTTCCCCTTCAACCGAAGAAGAATGAACTTCTGAAAACTGGATGTTTCAAAAGGAATCCGTTATTGAAATGAGGTGATTCCAGCACTATTCAAAGCAAAGCCTAATATAGGTTAAGGAGAATAATAAAGAGGAGGTATATAACATTCTTGCCCAGTTATAGTTCAAATGATCTTGATCTTCTGGAAACAAGCCATTTTCTTATACTGGCTTGTTTCACAATTTCATCCCTATGTCACATAACAATCCATATACAGGCCTGAGTGAAGCC